TTTTGTATTTTTGTATTGTGTATTTTTTGTATTTTGGGTATATTATTTGTTTTTAATATGCTGTGAACCGCCCTGAGTCCTATGGGAGAAGGGCGGTATACAAATTAAAATAATAATAATAATAATAATAATAATAATAATAATAATAATAATAATAATAATAATAATAATAATAATAATAATAATAATAATAATAATATCCTTCCATGCTTGCCCACCTCGAGAAGGGTAAGTTGTTTTGTTACCTGCACAGCTGTGCCTCCCAGCTGTTCGTCCAGCTGGACAGTAAGAAAAGCCGAGGTGGTGATCTCATCTTGAGTGGAATCTGCACCCTGCCTGGAAAGAAGAAGAAGAAGAAGAAGAAAAACTTGCAAATGGGTAAATGTTTATGGAGATTCTCCATCATCCAGGTCGCGGCTGTTGTCCCAAAGACTCTTTTCCAAAAGACAACCGGATGTTCTTGGCGCTGTCTGTCCTTGAAAAGGTTTCGCTTCTCATCCGAGCAACATCTTGGATGAGAACTGAAGAAGCTTCTTGGATGAGAAGAGAAGTGTTTTCAAGGAAGAAAAAAACAACAACCACCCATGACAGTCCAATTGTCTTTTGGGAAAGCGTGGGTGGAGGTCGACTCTCTCACAAAACGGGTTTTAGTTATTCTAATTCTCGCTCTGAAGGCGAAAAGGTTAGCTAACCATACCCAAGAACTATTAATCTACTCGCATTTGCATGCTTTCGAAGTGCTGCAGCATGGAACAGGAGCTCACCCCATCACGCGGGTCTCCGCTCTATAACCCAGTTTGTCTGTTTTCCAGCTGACAGGCTCAACCTCTTTAAGTGCTGACCCAATGGGACAACAAACTCGGAGTGCTTGGGTATGGTTGGGAGGGCACTGACTTTTCTAGGCTGCCCTATCAATGTTTCCTGGTAAAATACATGGGAAAATCCCATTGGAGGAAAATTCCACTTAGGGTTAGGTCACCATGAACTCATTGAGCAAAATGGACATCGCCAACAAACTCGGAGTGCTTGGGTATGGTTAGGAGGGCACTTACTTTTGTAGGCTGCCCTATCTATGTTTCCTGGTAAAATACATGGGAAAATCCCACTGGAGGAAAATTCCATTTAGGGTTAGGGTTAAGTCACCATGAACACATAGAGAAAAATGGACATCGCCAACAAATTCGGAATGCTTGAGTATGGTTGGGAGGGCACTGACATTTCTAGCCTGCCCTATCTATCCTGGTAAAATACATGGGAAAATCCCACTGGAGGAAAATTCCACTTAGGGTTAGGTCACCATGAACTCATTGAGCAAAATGGACATCGCCAACAAATTCGGAGTCCTCGGGTATGGTTAGGAGGGCACTGACTTTTCTAGGCTGACCCAGTGCCCTCCTAACCATACCCAAGCACTCCGAATTTGTTGGCGATGTCCATTTTTCCTCTACGAGTTCACGGTGACCTAACCCTTACTCTCCCTTGGCCATACTTCAAGTAGAAGCTGTCTTACCACGTATAGATGATCTTTCCCTGCTTGCTCCCATGCCTGTAATTGTACAAGATGATATAACTGTCTCCCCCGTAGAATTGGCCGTAGGTTGCAGGATTTACAGGAACTTTAGCGGAGCCTTCTATTCTCCAGATCTGCAGAAAGAGGAGAAAGGGACAAGAACCGGTCAGGTCAGTTGGAAAAGCAGAACAGAACCTTACTGAAGTAGCTCCAGCAGAGATATAAATGGATGGAAATAATTGCATGGAATGAGCTGCTTTTGGTAAACCCTTTCCCTACTCTGCCCTCACCGTGAAGTTTGGTTCACCTTCTTCATACAAGGCCCCTATAGCGTCACCTAGTGGAGAAACTCAGAAGCTACTCCTCGACAGTTCTCCTAAGGGACTATCCTAGCCTGGCTTGGATTTCTGGGAAATGTAGTTCTAGTTGGGAACTGGTTGGGAGATGGACGTATACCTACCGTAAGCCCCTCTCTCTTTTTCTGTCGGGGCCAACTTATGGACGTCCTGCATCTCAGCGAACAGGTTGATATGAGGGGTCCCTGGTGCTCTCTTGAGTTTGCTTGTTTTCTGGCAGACGTTTCGTGACCCAAACTAGGTCACATCATCAGTGCTCATGAGAAGGGATGACGTGTGACCTAGTTTGGGTCATGAAACGTCTGCCAGAAAACCACCCAGCTCAGAGAGCACCAAGGACCCCTCAGTTCAACCCTGAGCTTACAAATATTCTCTTTTATAGGTTGATATTAGATTGAGCAGAATGTGCACGTTGGGGCTGAGCCGTAAATGTGGCTGGTTTGGGTTTGGCGCGTTAGGCAAACTCGTCCGTTGTAGTCCCGAAGGGGCTTCTCATAAGGCAACTGGACTTCCTTGTTTTGTTTTGTTTTGTTTTCCTTGAAAAGGTTTCTCTTCTCCTCCAAGAAGCTTCTTCGGTTCGCAGTTCAGCTTATAGTTGAAGACCGCCTCCTACCAAATACCTCCCTTCGACCAGTCCGCTCCCACAGAGAGGGCCTCCTTAGGGTGCCGTCGGCCAGTCAATGCCGGCTGGCGACCCCCAGGGGGAGAGCCTTCTCTGTGGCAGCTCCTGCCCTCTGGAATGACCTACCCCCCAACCTACGTACAACTGTGGACCTGCACCTTTTTCACCGAGCCCTGAAAACCCATCTATTCCGTGCGGCCGGCCTGGCGTAGTCTTAATTATGTTTTAGTAAAGGTTTTATATGGGGTATTTTAGAGCAGGCCTTTATTTAATTTGATTTTGGAATAGAAATTTGAGTATATTTATTGTGATTTTTAGTATCGCCTGTTCACCGCCCTGAGTCCCGTAAGGGAGATAGGGCGGTATACAAATTTAAATAAATAAATAAATAAATAAGTAAGTAAATAAATAAATAAATAAATAAATAATAGCAAACTGAAAAAGCATCTTGAAGGAGAAGTGAAAGGTTTGTAAGGGAACGAAGCGAGAAAAAGCACCTTTGGGGACAACCGTGAGCAATCTGGAGAGTTGAGAATCGCCGCAGACATCGCTCCACTGTAGTTTGCAAACCTGGGTAGACATAGATCGCGGCCTCCGTCCATCCGACTGGATTGTTACATTTTCTGCTATTATTATTTTCCCTACTTCTGTTTTCATTCTTTGGGCCTGAGATCCAGGCTGTTCGCTAATACGCCTAACTCTTTAGCTCAAAGAGTAGCTATTTTGCCCCTCCAGCCTCTTAGACTTCCTTACCTGTTTTTCTCCAGTGCCGTCGTCTTCCATTCCGTGTTGGGCTGCCATTGTTGGCGAGGTGTGCAGGGTGGCCGCGTCAAAAGGTATCTGCTCAATTTTGGCCACGTTGCCAGAGACATAGGCCACCCCCAGCCCCTCTGTCTGGTCTTTGTCGCGCCAGTTCTTGAAGAATTGCTTGAACAGAGGGGTCTCCCCGCCCTCTGGGAGGACCTGGACCTGAGACAAAAGAAAACCCAAAGCATCAAGGGTTTGCTCTCATTTTATGTACAAGTGGCTTGCGCTGCCCCTGTTGGTGGGACCATTCTGATGAGGTTACCTAGCTGGGTAATGAGATGTCTGCAAAAAAAACAACCAGGGCACCAAGGAGCGCACAGTTCAACCCTGAGCTACAAATATTATTTTCTATTGTTGTTGTTAGTTGCGAAGTCGTGTCCGACCCATCGCGACCCCATGGACAACGTTCCTCCAGGTCTTCCTGTCCTCTGCCATCTTCTGGAGTCCATTGAAGCTCACGCCTGCTGCTTCAGTGACTCCATCCAGCCACCTCCTTCTCTGTCGTCCCCTTCTTCTATTGCCCTCCATCTTTCCCAGCATCAGGCTCTTCTCCAGTGAGTCCTTCCTTCTCGTTAGGTGGCCAAAGTACTTGAGTTTCAACTTCAGGATCTGGCCTTCTAAAGAGCAGTCGGGGTCGATCTCCTCTAGGACTGACCGGTTGGATCGCCTTGCAGTCCAGGGGACTCGCAGGAGTCTTCTCCAGCACCATAGTTCAGAGGCCTCCATTCTTTGGCGCTCAGCCTTTCTTATGGTCCAATTCTTTTCTATAGATAAGCTAAACACTGGACTTTTGACATCCCGTGACTCTACGCCTACATCCAACAGTATGGAAGATGTTTGTCATTGCCAGCTTCTGAGATCTGTTTTACTTCTCAATCCAGCCTCTAATTCTGGAATTCCCTGGTGGGGTAGGAGATGACCAGGCTAAGCCCGAGGGAGGGGTCAAACACGCCATCAGTCTCAAGTCCCTTCGTGCCCACAAGAGATCTGAGTCCAGCCCTCTTTGAATTTCTTTGACTCTTCTCCACCGCCAATTTGCTTTGACCGTTAGTAGCTCAGATTTTTAAAGAGAGCTTAAACTCGCGATCAATCTTTATACCCATTTGAACGGTCTGGATTTTCTGATTTCTCTGGGGCTAACAAGTCCTAACAGAATCCCAACAGGCAAGCCTTTTTCCCTCCCAACCATTTCCCATAGATCCTAAATTTCACTTTCCAGCGGAAGGTGAGCTATGGATAATTTCCCTTCCATCGCTTACCTGTGTATGTCTTGGATAACTCATCTTGTTGATAAACTCAGAAGCAGTTTTAAGAGCCGCTTTCCTTTCTTCCGCGTTGGCATTTCTCCCTGTTATTAACGAGGGAGGAAACAGAGATATGCATTCGTTATCCAGGCGCGTGCTTATACCGCAAAGGTTTTGCTGGCCAAATGGGAAGTTTTATCTCTCCAGGGTGAGAATCCTCAAGGACATCTGGAGAGCTAAAAATCCAGATGTGCTCTCCCACACCAGGGTCAAAACATCGGTCCACTGCCAGCTCTTAAGGTAGCTCAAATCATTCTGTGATTTCTTTTTTTTAAAAAAAAGACATGTTTACTTATTCTTTTATTACCAAAGATAAAATACAAAACAAAAGAAGGAAAAACAAAACAAAACAGACTGACAAACATCCAACACCAACAACAAAAAGAAAAAAAAATGTGTGTACAAAAAAAGAGAGAAAAAAACCCAAATGTTAAATATATCTAATGTTAAATGTGAGAAAAAAAATCCACATTGGCTGAATGCTGAAAGATGCATCAAAAATCTAACTTATTCCATTCCCCTTACAGAACAGAACAGAACAACAGAACAGAACAGGAGCATTGGAAGGGACTGTGGAGGTCTTCTAGTCCAATAGTACGTAATGGGTCTACAAATAGTTATACTGTGATTTACTCAAATGCGTGAATAACTTAATTCTTTCTTGGCTTCTATCTAAGGTTGATGGGCCTACCATTAAGAAGGCCCAAAGTTGAATTTGTCTAAAGAAAAGTGGTTTAAGAAGAGGTAAAGTGTTGATCAGCTACATTCTTTGTAGGCTTTTGATTGTAGAGTATTGACTTACCATCAGTGTCCAGGTAGATGCAATGTCTCAAGCTTTAAATCCAAGTTTATAAACTGAATTAGCTGGGTTTATGACGCAGTGGGCTTCCTTGTCCTACAGTACAGGTCGTCTTTCATTTACAACCATTTGTTTAGTGGCGAATTGTCGTAGACCCTTCCCTTGCCTTCAGAAGTTGTGGGTGCTCCATCACTGGAGGATTTTAAGAAGAGACTGGACAGGCACTTGTCTGAAATGGTCCAGGGCATGGGTAGGCAACCTTGGCTCTTTTATGACGCGTGGACTTCAACTCCCAGAATTCCTGAGCCAGCCATGGCTCAGCTTGGAAACCTCTCCCTGTCCCCTCAGCGTGGCTGGCTCAGGAATTCTGGGAGTTGAAGTCCACCAGTCATGAAAGAGCCAAGGTTGCCTACCCCTGGTCTAGGGTGGTCTCCTGCCTGAGCAGGGGATTGGACTAGAAGACCTCCAGGGTCCCTTCCAGCTCTATTCTGATTGATTGATTGATTGATTGATACATGATTGATACATGATTGGCTTTCATTTCTGGATGTACCTTTCCAGACAAAAATTTTGCCATCTGTGCCGTGGTCCAGAATGAAGCAATCGTCGGAAACCAGGGCTGTTTGAGAGAAGGGGTTTTCATCGGCCACCAAGGAAACAGCCATGTTTCCTGCCCCGTTGGAGACCTGTAACCAAACACATTGGTGCTTTTTACCCACCTGGAAACCCAAAGTTAACACACACACCCCCGATCCAGACTTCTAAAATCTTTTTGTCCCTTCCCCGGGAACGAAGCTGAATGAGGTTTATTTCGCAGTGTAGGTGCATGTGATTACCCTTGCAGTCTCCTGTGGATTGGACTTCGGGCATTGAACAGATAGAAAAAGACGCTTCTAATTTGTTCCACTGACTCTCTTTCCCATTAAACCTCTGTTCCTGTCTTCAGGAATGATGAATGTTGGCTAGCAGGGCTTGTAATGTGCGACTGCTCGGTCTCTCTTACACAACTGCGCCGGACTGGGCTTCCCGGTGTCGTTTTTGATTTATACCCCCTTGCCTTCCTGGAATTGATTTTTGTCTGTTTTTAATTCTAGCTAAAAGGAAGGATCTCTCCCAGTTTCCAGAGGGATAATTTGTTAAGGGCTTGGAAGTCTGGATCTGGGTGTGCAAAATGTGCATTACTGAAATGCCAGGCACCCTCTCCCCCCCTGCAGTGAATTGCCATGTTACCCACCTCAGCGAGCAAAGATAGCGTAATCTGTGGGAAGAAATTGCATCGGGGGAGATTAATTTAATGGCCCTGAAAAGTACATTTTGCCTTTGCTCTGTCCCAATTCGATTTTTGGCCTGCAGCCCTCAGATGCAAATGTGGCCCTCAGCCAAACCAAGCAAGCCAGATTCCTGACCTCAAGACACCCCAAGGGATGTTGGCAGACTCTCACAGCCCACCTCCTGAGGCCCCCCACGTCGTGGGGCACCGTCTGCTTTGGCTTATTATACCTTGTAGAGTTTAGCCAGCCTTCTGTTGGTGGCGTCAGCTTGGGTGTCATCAGTTGTAGCTGCTGGCAGGGTAGGTTTGGGCCCCAAGACCTGAAAAACACAGGGGTGTCAGTCCTTCCAAGTTATCGTTGTCTGTTGTCTTCATAACTTCAGAAGCTATGCCTCCAGAAGTCGTGAATGCTCCATTACTGGAGGTTTTTAAGAAGAGATTGGACAACCATTTGTCTGAAATTATATAGGGTTTCCTGCCTGAGCAGGGGGTTGGACTAGATGACCTCCAAGGACCCTTCCAATTCTTCTATTCTATTCTATTCTATTCTATTCTATTCTATTCTATTCTATTCTATTCTAGTCTAGTCTAGTCTAGTCTAGTCTATTCTGTCCTGTTCTGTTCTATCTTGTTCTGTTCTGTTCCGTTCTACTGTACCTACTCTATTCTATTCTATTCTATTCTTCTATTTCTATTTCTATTTCTATTATTTCTATTTCTATTATTTCTATTTCTATTTCTATTTCTATTTCTATTTTCTATTTTGTATCTTCTATTTTATTCTATTCCGTTCTGTTCCGTTCTACTATACCTACTCTATTCTATTCTTCTATTTCTATATTCTATCTTCTTTCTTCTATTGTATTGTATTGTATTGTATTGTATTGTATTGTATTGTATTGTATTGTATTGTATTCTATTCTATTCTATTCTATTCTATTCTATTCTATTCTATTCTATTCTACATTCTATTCTTAGAAACTTTGTTCCCCAGATATTTCCCAAAGAGCAAACAAGTTGTGCATGGAAAAATAACGACCAATTAAGATTGTTCCGGGGACCTCTCCATCAACCCAGTGACCAGACTGATGGTAGTTATAGAGAGGAAAAGAAGAGAAAGGAAAGTGGGATCAAACAAAATCTACGAAGAGGAGATTAAGTCATCCCTAGCGTAGGAAAGCTCTCTACCAAGTTTTTTTTTGTTTCTAAAAAGGGAGGGAAAAAGCCACTGGAGAAATCTCTGCCCGCTCAAGATGAGAAAGAACGAGTTCTGGAGAAAGACCTGGATCATCTCGTCGCGTTCAGCCCCGTCATCTTCAACTATGACTCTGGCCCGTCCACTCCGCTCGTTGTCCCGGATGCCCTTGGCGACTTGGGTGGCTTTCAGTTTTTCAAACCGGTTGGCATCGGAGCCGCACCATTGGTGAATGTTCTACAGGAGATGAAACAACCGCAGGGTCAGTGGGGAAAAACACAAGGCCAGCGCTAAAGGGATTTGTGTCTGTGTGGTGCGCTTCTCCTGGCAAACAAGCTGACTCAGATTCTTGACCCTTTCACTCCCCTGTGGGTCAAAGACCAGAATAATAGTTTACTCAGTAAGATAGTCACTTGCTGCTTAATGGCGTAATATTTCAAATCTATTTAGAAATGCCAGATATTTCCCCCCCCCTTTGTTAACGAAAGCGTGGTATATTCACCGTGCGCCTAATAAAAGACAGTGAGTTTTTCTTTCTGTGACTTTCTTAAAATATGTTTTATGGCTTCCGTAGCCTGTGAAGGACCACGTCTTCGAAGCAACGTTGTGTAATTTTCGTCCCCAAGTGCCCAAATCCTGTTACGAATGACTCTATGGAGCACTTACGTTGCCCAGATCCAGGATAAAGCAGTCACCCCTGTTGAAGCTGTCCCAGCTGACGGGCACCTCGGTCGCCCGTGCGGTTCTCCTGCCTTTCACCTGCAAGAGTCTCTGGACCGTGACTTCGTTGGGCACCACGTGTCGGAAGCCCGAGGCCACACCACCGGCCTAGAAGAAGAACAGAAACAAAATGACCCTCCACCAAGATGACCCTCAATGCATCTTAAGTTCAGATCTACAGGAAGGACTTGGCCTATCAGAAACATCTGGAGGAAATGAGATTTCCATCCAGGACCAAAGAGAACTGCATTGTCCTGAGGGCAGGAGAAGAAGCAATGGATGGAAACTATTCAAGCAGAGAAGCAACCTAGAACTAAGGAGAAATTTCCTAACAGGGAGAACAATTAATCAGTGGAACGACTTGCCTCCAGAAGTTGTGGGTGCTCCATCACTGGAGGTTTTTAAGAAGAGATTGGGCAGTCATTTGTCTGAAATGGGATAGGATTTCCTGCCTGAGCAGGGGGTTGGACTAGAAGACCTCCAAAGTCCCTTCCAACTCTGTTGTTCTATTCTATTCTTATTGGTTCCCCTCTGGATCAGGGCTGTTTGCTAACAGGGTTCTGAGCACCACTCAAGAAGTTCTCCAGCAGGCACCTACCTTGTATTTCAGTCCTGATTTGAAGTATCCTAAGAAAGTGGACGACTCGTGTCCTTGCACTTCCCGGTGTTGGATCGCCCTTCCTCCAAGATAGTCATCCAGTTGTACTGTGAAAATGGCGGCAGATCCGCTTTCATCTTGGCTGCATTCGTTGCCTGGAAAAGAGAAAAAAAGAAAATTAAACCAAAGAGTTGGAAAGAGGGCAAGAGGGCTCAGCTCGTCGGGTGTTAGGCCAAAAACCCAAGAAAGATAAGTGATGGTTCTTCCCAGTTGAGTTATTTATTGTTTCACACCTATAGACGGAAAACTCAACATCTCTGCATCTCTAACACACTCTGGGAACTATTAGGAAGGGGCTGTCCTCACCCTCTCTCTCACACACATATCGGAGCTGAGCTGCCTCTTACGCACTCTCTCCCTCCTGGAGATCTTGCTAAGTTCCATCATATCGTGTGTGGACTTCAACTCCCAGAATCCTTCCGCCACCACATGTGGACAAATCCCAGCATTCATCAGCCACTGTGTGTGGTCTTCAACTCCCAGAATTCCTCAGTCACCACGCGTCAGTCCCCAAACCAAGAATGATGCATAATGATTCTTCTTCATTGTTTCATACCAATAGACAGAATCTTGCTAGATTGAAGACTCCACTATCTGCATCTACAATACGCTCTGGGAACTATTAAGGAGGGCCTGTCTTCACCCTCTGCTTCTCACACATGATAATCCAGGCTAAGTTGCCTCTTATTCCTCTGAGACGCAGCCCCTCCCTCCCTCCCGGAGACCTATCTCCTCAGTACATTCTATCACCTCATGTGGGGACTTCAACTCCCAGAATTGCTTAGGATCAGCTCGGAGAGTGGAGTCCCATAGAGTTCTCCTTACCTAGCCAAAAGTGAAGGTCGTATTGCAGATTCCCGTTACGTTGCCGGATTGTGTTGAGGATCACGTAAGCATCCCCCATGAAAAAATCCCCATAGAGGTTTCTCGGCACTGGGACCAAATCAAACTTCTCAATCCTCCAGATCTGAAGGCCCGGCTGCTTGCCGGCGTTCAGGAACTCGGCGTGTTCCACCATGCTCACCGGCTGGGAGAAGAGAAAGGGGGAGGGAATTCATGGATTAGCACGTTTGACCCGCTCACTTTCTCCCGCTGCTTGCAAAGTCAAAGGCACCCTCTTATTTCTAGAGAGCCAGTCCTCAACATCCCAAAGGCAGCTCCTTTAAAGCAATTTGACCTCAGGAAATGAAGCCAAATATACGTGTCCCAGAATAATGTGGCAGGATCCAATCTGAATCGGTCACCGGGACCAGAGGTTTTTTTCCCCCCAAGCTTTTGGACTCTGCTAGGGCTCACGCTCAGGGAATGTCTCAATCTCTAAAATGCATTCAGTTTTGCAGCTATTCAGATTGTTGGCCGAGCAGGGACAAAAACAGCCAGAGAAAAAATTGAAAGCTGGAAAATGGGCCCCTTGTCAGGCAACCAGAGTGCTGATTTACCGTCAGCTTACCCTGGACCTAGGAGGGTGCAACTGAAGCTGCTTTAATAACAGCAGTTTTCCTTATCGGCGGGGCGGGGGGGGGAAGGAAGTTTTAATTCCATTATCCCAAAGCTGCTTTTCCAAAAGGCAACTGGACTTTGTTTTTCCATGAAGACGTTTCGCTTCTCATCCAAGAAGCTTCTTCAGTTCTGACTTGGGGGAGGGAGAGGACACCATCCATCTCCTGTTTGCAACCCAGTCCTTTCAGCACTTCCAAGAAGGCTCCACACCCATTGGCACTATTCAGCTGTCCCTGTGGGGCGCAGATAAACCTCCAATGACTCTCAGGAAGAGCGCCAATGAGCGGATGACTGAAAGGCACATAACTCCTTCCGTTCTCCTCCATTCATTCAGAACCGAGGAAGCTTCTTGGAGGAGAAGCGAAACGCTTTCAAGCAAAAACGAAGCCCAGTTGCCTTTTGACAAAGCACCATGACCTGGGTGACCGAGAGTCTCCATAAACATGTCATTTCTTGAGCTGGGGGGAACAAAATCACGGCTGCTAATCAAGCCGGCAACCGGGTTCAGTGCTTCCAAATCCCCCAGTGGCCTCTTTTTTTCCTAATCCATTAACAGAATGAGCTTTCCGAGATTTCAGGCTGGCTCCTTCGAGATTCCAGGGGTTTAGGAACACAGGACTTTGTGCAAGCTAGAGATAAGCTCTAAAGGCCAGCCCTCCTTCACTTTAGTTCCTCTGCCCTGCTAAAATAAGACATAAGCTGGTTCTGTTGCAGGAAACCTTCAGCCACTTCTTGCTAAAACCCAATTCTCCGTATCTAAAGGCTGCTTTACTGAATGCACGTGACTCAGAGTCTTGTTTTTGCTGCGTCGCTTAGGTTACTCCAGGAAATGCACAAGAAAAACCAGGCCGAAATGCCATCCTGTCACCGTCCTAGAAAGAATGGACAGGCTTCTGCTGATAATCTTTCTCTGGACTTCGGCAACCTTCTTGGAAAAAGGGAAACAGGATGGACTAACCAAACCAGTTTGGTTGCGATATGAAAAATAAACACTTTAAAAAAAAAAAAAAAGAGAGAGAGAGAGAGAATTGGTTTCAATAGAGAAATTCCTTCCAGTCTCGTCCTTGGGAGAGTTTGTTTTGCCTAAACAAATCATGTGGAAAATGACACACACATTTCTCCTCTAGTGGCTTTGCAGATGCATGGGTGTATAGCAGTCCGATAATTGGAGAATAAAGGTAGTTCTCAAAGAGGACATTCATTCATTTATTACATTTATGTGCCACCCATCCCATTATCAAGTGACCCTGGGCATATCTCTCTCTTTCTCTCTCTCTCTTTGTTATGTATCTATGTTATCTCTCTCTCCCTCTCCCTCTCCCTCTTTCTCTCTATTATGTATGTTATCTCTCTTTCCCTCCCTCACTCCCTTTCTGCCTCTATCTGTCTCTGTCTCTGTCTGTCTCTGTCTCTCTCTCTCTCTCAACACATACACACACATGTATGTATGTATGTATGCATGCATGCATGCATGCATGTATAGAAGAGACCATCTGTCTATATTTAATTGCTTTATTTTTCCCCTCATTTGTTTCATTATAGCATTTGATATTTCCAATGAAATATCTATCTATCTATCTATCTATCTATCTATCTATCTATCTATCTATCTATCTATCTATCTATCTATCTATCTATCTATCTATCTATCTATCTCAATCATTATCTATCTATCTATCTATCTATCTATCTATCTATCTATCTATCTATCTATCTATCTATCTATCTATCTACCTACCTACCTACCTACCTACCTACCTACCTACCTACCTACTACGTACAAAAACTCATGGCATGTTTCTGATTCATCACTTGACTTGCCAAAAACTTGACAAACATAAGCCTTAAAATACAAGTTCAGAGCTGGCTACTCCGTCTGCTAATCCCCAAATTCTCCCGTCGGTTTTACGGCAAGCTACTGATCCGGTCCGAGAACCTGGGTGTAAAAAATCCTTGTCACTCACCCCAGCCAAGAGCACGACAATCAGCGAGATAAGGGGAGAGAATCTTCCCAAAGCCATTGTGATCCACCAGTTTACTCTCTCAGCTTTCTGCTGAATTAAAACTTCCAAAGATTCCCCCCAGCCCGGGCCCTGCGCTGAAGTTTGAACAAGCCCGGTTCTTCTTCTGAGTCTGCCTTAGAACCGAGAGGCCGAGAGAATCCGGGACGTTGCTTTTTATCTCCTCTCTGTGTGCTTTGCTTGGGCCGGATCCCACCCTGGGCACGCCCGGCTCCAGCTGAAGCGCACAGCTGGATACGCCTCTGTGTACGGGACAAAGAATCAAGGTGCAGTAAAGGCCAACTCCCTGGAGGCTATCAAGACAGAAAGCCAACTGGTGCTTATGACTCGCAGGCTGAAATTCATGGGAAGGGATGGGAGTTGCCAACAAGTTATGTAAGGCCAAGAGGAGGCCTTTGATTGTGGTGGGGGGAATATAGGAAGTCCTCAAATTACAGCTGCTCGCTTTAGTGTCCGTTCGAAATTACAACAGGGCTGAAAAAAAAGACTGTTTTTCACGCTTAACGTCCGTTGCAGCTTCTCCAGGGTCACGTGATCCAAATGGAGATGATTGGCAACTGATTCCTATTTATGACGGTCCCAGGGTCCCGCAGAGGGTGACGTGACCCCCTTTTGCGACCGTCCGACAAGCGAAGCCGATGGGGAAGGCAGATACACTTAACATCCCGAGTTGCCAACTTATCAACCGCACTGATGATTCACTGAACAATTGTGGGAAGACAAGTCGTAAAAGGGGGCAGAACTCGCTTCACAAGCGTCTCACTTAAGAACGGAAATGTTGAGTCCCGTTTTAGGTCGTAAGACGAGGCCTCCCCCGTAGGAGGAGGGAGGTCCGTGGGGTAAATTCGCCGCCTTGAGTTAGTTGTAAAAACAATAAGGGCAGGATACGAATAATAAATAAAAATTAGACGTTTGAATGCCCCAAAATGTTACGACGGTTGGGTTTAGGCAACGTAAACAATTTGTTTGTCTGGATCAGAACCAGAATCCAAATTTGAGCCTCTTTCCTTCCCTTCCTCTAGGGAATAGGAGTAGAACACTGTGTTGTTTTGCTCCGTCACTGTCCTCCAAGTTAAGGAAAGTACTACATGTTCCATCTCTTCCCTCAGGACTCATTTTCCTAACCAAAAGCAAAACAATTTGGCTTGAATGTCCTCAGATCTTTGTTTTCAGGTCGCGGCCTGAATCTGGCTAAGCCTCTGCTCCAGTCCTTTCCCATAATAGACGGTACCAGGAGGGCTCTTGTCCCAGGGCGCAACCCATGGGAGAAAATAATATTAGTTACCAGCAGTTGCAATGACAAAAAACAAACAAACAGAAAAAGCCTTCGTGCTGGGTGGAAAGTTAACCCAAACCCAAAGTGGCCCATCTATCCAACAAGTTTGGGAAGTCTTGTTTTTCCCCCCATTCAGTCGTGTCTAAATCTCAGAGATTGCCTGGATAAGTCCCTGCATTTTTCAGAAGTGCTTTGCCATTGCCTCTTTCCTAGGGCTGGGAGGAACTGACTGGCCCAAGATCACCTGGCTAGAACTCGCCGTCTCCTGGGTGATTGGTCCAAAGTCACCCAGCTGGCTTTCATGCCTAAGGTGGGACTAGTATTCACCATCTCCTATTGATGGGTCCAAAGTCAACCAGAAGGTTTTCATGCCTAAGGTGGGACTAGAACTCGCCGTGTCCTGGGTGGCCCAAAGTCACCCAGCTGGCTTTCATGCCTAAGGTGGGACTAGAACTCACCCTCTCCTGGTGATTGACCCAAAGTCATCCAGTTGGCTTTCATGCTTAAGGCGGGACTAGAACTCACTGTCTCCTGGTGATTGGTCCAAAGTCACCCAGTAGGCTTTCATGGCTAAGATGGAACTAGAACTTACTGACTCCTAATGACTGGCCCAAAGTCACCCAGCTGGCTTTCATGCCTAAGGTGGGACTAGAACTCACCCTCTCCTGGTGATTGGCCCAAAGTCACCCACTTGGCTTTCATGCCTAAGGCGGGACTAGAACTCACCGTCTCCTGGTGATTGGTCCAAAGTCACCCAGTAGGCTTTCATGGCTAAGATGGAACTAGAACTCCCAGTCTCCTGGTTTCTACCTTGATGCCTTAACCACTACACCAAACTGGCTGTCTTGGAGGACATCCATGCTCACATGAATGTCAATCGAGTATATTTTTTTTTAAACTGACTCATGCCTGTAGCACTAACTCATTAATTACATGTTGCACAATTTGGCTAGATGTTGTGGAACATTTTCAAATATTCCAACAGCTCAGCTTAGAAGAAGAAAGCCAGTTTGGGAAACACGGATCTTGAGGAGAACATTCCCAACAATGCTTTTGTCATCTAACGTGTCAGATCCTTTCCAGGTAGTTCGATTCTTTTCTGCTACTACAATCAAACAAGTTATTGTACCTATGTGGTCCTATAATCCCAAAGCTCACCTACAACACACACAGCAGAATCCATACTCTCCAAACATAGGCCTGGAATACTGAATTCAAGCCTTTTCTTGCCATTTTTACCAGAAGTCCAAAAGGTGCTTTTTCAAAGGGCAACTGGACTTGAAGGCCTTTCACTTCTCATCCAAGAAGCTTCTTCAGTTCTAACACCAGCCCTCTTGAAGCCTCGTTGTCTCCTTGATGGTTTGGGACAGAATTCTTGACCACGCCGGCTGGGGAATTCAGAAAATTGCATCCCAACCCATCTGGCTGAGGGAAAATTGCTATTCCAATGCTAAAAAGGAGATTTTTTTAATTTTTATTTTGCTCTTCCAATGCTAAAATATGTTTGAAACAAGTTTAAAGGCATCCAGAGACCAAAATTGCTACCTAGAATAACCACTGCAGGGCTATTACAGTCAGATATCTTCTAGGAGATGTTTGAACTGTACAGGAACTTAAAAAAAAATAAACATTAAAGTTAATCAGTGGATCTACAGTATGCATGGCTTCAAAAGAAGCAAGCAAATAAAACTTGCAAGCCCAAAGCCACAGGTTCCAAAAAGAAGGACTAAATTCCAGTAATTTCGCTTCAAGCATCCCGCCTCTTCTCAAATTTCCTGAAGCTTGGCGGTCCAAAGTAGAAACCTCACATTGATTGGGGTGGTTCAAATACAGTTACTGAAGCCAGTGATTCAATTTTGGATTGAAGCAGCAGAGGGCACACGAACACCACTTTCAAAAAAAAAAAAAAAAAAGCAAAAGTCTTGATAGACAGACCAGGAAATAAAGTTCAAAATTTGTAGGAAGGCAAGGCCTTCACCCTAAAGAAATAATTACATTATGTTTCTTGCAAGTTCTCTAATCAGATTTCAGAATAGATGATATGGGTCGTCGGGAAAGGGTAAATCTCCTTTACCTTGATATTTTGAACATCTGATATATATATATAAAGCACAAATGCTTTGATAATGGTACTTAGTTTGGGTCATGAAACGTCTGCAAGGAAACAAGCTTAGAGAGCACCAAGTCTTTTTTTTTTCCTCCTCCTCCTCCTCCTCCTCCTCCTCCTCCTCCTAGCACTGATGATGTTACCTAGTTTGGTAATGGAACATCTGCAAGAAAACAATCCAGCTCAGAGAGCACCAAGGACCCCACAATCCTCATCTCCTTCCTCATCCTCCCACTCCTTCTAGCACTGATGATGTTACCTAGTTTGGTAATGGAACATCTGCAAGAAAACAATCCAGCTCAGAGAGCACCAAGGACCCCACAATCCTCCTCTCCTTCCTCATCCTCTCTGTAAACCCCATTCCCTTCTACCTGATCAGGTACTGAAACATCTGCAAGAAAGCCACCACGCTCAGAGGGCACCGAGGACCCGTCATTTCAACCCTGAGCTTTTGGCTGTCTGATGACTGAAAGTGGCAGGCACAGACAAGCTGGTTAGCAAAAAAATAATATCGGCCCTTGTCAATAGTCCAGTCTTAACACAATGTAGTGATTCATTTATGATTCAGGCATCCTAATTCCCCATCAGGCATTGAGTGTGCTGAGTATGTATAATTCCAATGCAAAATCTCTTTTGAATTGTGCTTACAACCACGGAACGTTATGCATCTTCTCCTCATCTCGCGTCTCGCTTGTTTTCTCAAGTTTCCAGCTTGAAGAGAAGGACGAGGGGGGACATGATAGCAGTATTCCAATATCTCAGGGGCTGCCTCAAAGAAGAGGGAGTCAAGCTATTTTCCAAGGTGCCTGAAGGCAGGACAAGAAGGAACGGATGGAAACTAATCAAGGAGAGAAGCAACCTAGAACTAAGGAGAAACTTCCTGACAGTGAGAACAATTAACCAGTGGAACAATCTGCCTCCAGAAGCTGTGAATGCTCCAACACTGGAAGTTTTTAAGAAGAGACTGGACAGCCATTTGTCTGAAATGGTGTAGGGTCTCCTGCCTGAGCAAGGGGTTGGATTAGATGACCTCCAAGGTCCCTTCCAACTTTATTATTATTATTGTTGTTGTTGTTGTTGTTATTATTATTATTATTATCTCCAGCTCTTCAGACGTCCTGGAGATCTCTCATCCAAGAACTACAAAAGCAGCCAAAGTCTATTCCGTCACATACACAAAGTTTGTATCACTCGTACGAAAAAGATGTTGAGACTCTGGAAAGAGTGCCGAGAAGACCCACGAAGATGACTAAATGGGCTGGAGGATAAAAGCAAGGATGAACGGTGATAGGAATTGAGGATGTCTAGTGTTACGAAGGGAAGACTGGGGTGACATGATAGCAGTCTTCCAATATTTGAGGGGCTGCCACAAAGAAGAGGGGGTCGACCTATTCTCAAAGCACCTGAAGGCAGGACAAGAAGCAACGGGTGGAAACTGATCAAGGAGAGAAGCAACCTGGAACTAAGGAGAAATTTCTTGACTGTGAGAACAATTCATCAGTGGAACGGCTGGCCTCCAAGAGTTGGGGGTGATCCATCACTGGAAGTTTTCAAGAAGAGACTAGACAACCGTTTGTCTGGAATTTGTACAAGGTCTCCTGCTTGAGCAGGGGGTTGGACTAGAAGACCTCCAAGGTCTCGTTTTACTGTTACATTTTTGCCTTGGGTAGCCTGTTGCCTGAACCCAAGGCATATCTGCTGTTGACTTCCAGGGCATTAAGCTTCTTCTGTTCTATGTTCTCTGTTCAATGCAGATCAGACCTTCTCTTTTGCTCCTGCTAAAAGTGCCCAGGA